TGCTACTGTTATGAATCGGACAACCCCTGTAAAAGGGTCGTTCGACCCACAGGTTGAAACCGCTATTTTTTTTTTTAATCATTTTATTGAGAACTCAGTCAACTCTTATCACAATCCATCGTGTCAAGCACATTTGTACATTTGTTGCCATCATCATTCTCAAAACATTTTCTTTCTACTTGAGCCCTTGATATCAGCTCCTCATTTTTTCCTCTCCCTCCCAAACCCTTGATAATTTATAAATTATTATTATTTTGTCATGTCTTTCACTGTCCAACTCCCTTCATCCACTTTTCTGTTGTCCGTTCCCCAAGGAGGGGCTTATATGTAGATCATTGTGATCGGAGAACCACTGTTCTAAGGAGTGAGTCCATGATACTTTTTTTAATACTCACCAACACTAACTTAAATGCATGATTTCTTGTAGTCTTCTTCATTTATTGTCCAGCTCTCTCATATATGTGAGATGATTGAGTGTCATGGTTTGGGGCAGCTGTACGGTTGTCCTCAAAATGACATCTTCCTTCCCCAGCACTCTAAAGAAGAGGTCATTTGCTAGAGAGCTGCGGTTCATCACTTGATTTCCTGACTGCTGCTGATTTGGGTATTCATTGTGGCTGCAAGTGAAATGAAACCCTCGACAACTTCAATCATTTCTGCATTGATCATTTATCTACTGGATCACTTGTAAAGGTTTTTCTTTACCTTGAGTTGCAGTCCATACTGAAGTTTATATTCTGTGATCTTCATTAGTAAGTGGTAAAAGTTCTTTACTTTTAGCAAACATTGCAGGTTGTTAATGAGCCTTCTCCGGTCTTGAAGTCAAGTTCTACTCTGCTTATTTGCTTGGTATATAATAGGGTAAAAAGATACAACACCTTTCTTGGTTTTGAATCAAGTGGTACCCCAGTGTTTGTGTGTACGACTGACTGCCTTGGCCAAACAAAGATCTCACATGAGCACAGTTGTGTTTGGAATTCTCATTCTTTGAAATGTTATGCATAGATTTTTCTGTTCCACACAGTCGAATGTCTTTGCACAAAGAAATGCAAGTAAACATCTTTCTGGTGTTCTCTTTCAGTAAAAATCCATATGACATCAGTAATGGTATCCCTTGTTCCACATCTTCTTCTGAAAATTACTTAAATTTCTAGCAGTTCGCTGCTCCATTAAAAAATTTACTAACATAGTAATAATGATATAGTTTGGTAATTTACACATTCTGTTGGTTCACCTTTCTTTGGAATGGGCACAAATATAGATCTCTTCCTGTTGGTTCACCATGTAGCTGTCTTCCAAATTTCTTGGCATTGGTGATTGAATGCTTCCAGTACCGCATCAACTTGTTGAAACATTTTGATTACTACTTCATGAATTCCGGGAGCCTTAATTTTCACTAATGCCTTCATTGGAGTTTGAACTTCTTCCTTCAATACCATTTGTTCTTGATCATAGTCTACCTCTTGAAATGGTTGAGTTCTTTTCTTGGTATAGTGATTATGTTCATTCCATCTTGTTTTTTCCCCATTCCATCTTGTTTTCCCCATTCCATCTTGTTTTGATGCTTCCTGCATCATTCAATTTTTGTCCATGGAATCCTTCAGTATTGCCACTTGAGGCTCAAATGTTTTTCTTCAGTTCTTTCAACTTAGGTAAGTGGAGCATGCTCTTCACTTTTGGTTTTCCAACCCCAGGTCTTTGCATATTTTATGATAATGTTTTGCTTTAGGTCTTCCTGAGCTGCCTTTAAAAATTTCTCTTAAGTTCTTTATTTCTTCCATTTGATTTAATTATTCTGCAATCTGCAGTGGTTCTCAACCTTCCTAATGTTGCAACTCTTTAATACAGTTCCTCATGTTGTAGTGAACACCCCCCCAACCATAAAATTATTTTCATTGCTACTTCATAACTGTAATTTTGCTACTGTTATGAATCAGGGTGAAAGGGTCGTTCGACACACCCCCCCAAAGGGGTTGAGACCCACAGATTGAGAACCGCTGATCTGCAGCAATTTTTAGAATCTTCTGATGTAATTTTGGTCTGTTTTCTGTTTGTTTGTTTGCTTGTTTGTTTGTTTAATGACCATTTGCTTTTTTGTGTATAGTGTTCTTAATATTATCCCACAACTCATTGGACTTTGGTTATTAGTGCTCACTATTCTTGAGATGATGTCTAAATTCAAGTAGGACACTCGGGGTTGTATTTTGACTCTAGTAGGCTTGTTTTACTTTTCTTCAGCTGCAACCTGCACTTACATTTGCACAGTTAATGGTCTGTTCCACCTTTGGCCCCTTGCCATGTTTGGCTGATAATATTGAGCTTCTCTGTCATCTTGTTCCACAGATGTGATTCTTGTGTTTTGCATCTTTGGAGTCCACATTTATAGTTGCCATTTATGTTGTTGAAAAGGGTGTTTGCAATGGAGAAGTTTAGTCTTGCAAAATTCTGTCATGTTAGCTCCATCTTCTTTTTTTTATAATGAGGGCCATGCTTTCCACCTACTGGCTCTTCATATTTATTTCCAATTATTATATGCCAATCATTAGTCATTACAAACGCATCTTTACATGCTTGATCAATTTTACAGGAAAAGTGGGTAGAATTTTTTTATTACTAGCTTTAGTGATTGGTCTGTACATTTGAATTCTAGTTTTATTAAATAGTCTTCCCTTTAAGTGTATAGATATTATCCTATCACAGACAGCATTATATTTCAAGATAGATTGTCAAATGTGCTTTTTGACGATGAATGTGACACCATTTCTCTGGAATTTGTTGTTCCCAACATAGTAAACTGTATGATTATATGATTCAGAATGGCCAATACCAATCTATTTTAGTTCACTAATGCCTAAGATATTGGTCTTTATGCATTCCATTTCATTTTTTACAATGGCCAATTTTCCTAGATTCGCACTTTGTACGGTCTACATTCTGATTATTAATGGCTGTTTGCAGCCATGTTTTATTTTGTTTCAGTTTGGGCCATACCCTATCAAGCCCCCCAAAGCTACTTTGAGGATGTATCTCTTCCCCAATCGTATTTTGAATACCTTCCAACTTGAGGGTCTCATCTTCTGGCATTCTCTCAGACCAGGTTTTCCTGCTATTTTTAAGGTTACCAGTGGTCAATCTCTCAGTTTCAGAACACTTATTCTTTCTTGTCTGTGCTTAATCTGAAGATGACACTGGAACCAGTCTACCGTTCGTGACCATGGGTGAAATATTGATGCCATAACTTTTCCAGCATTATAGCAATAAATGAGCCACTACAGTATGGCAAGCTTGACAGAAGAGTAGAAGCTACATCCTAGTGTGTGATTATTTTTTCCTTGGTCAGTCACTATACTTTTTTTTTGGAAATTATTATCATTGAGTCATTTTTTAACTGAACCTTCAAGATAAAGAGTTGGGCCTCCAAGATCCAGGATTTCTCAATGGTGTTTCCTGGTTCTCATTACATCATAACCAAAAGAAACATGAGTTATCGACCAAAAGCCAACAATAAATACCAATTCAAAATGATGGAACATTAGGTGCCTTCTCATTTAAAAATCACAAAAGACAAATGCCTAATATTACTACCTGTCTTTACCTTTATATTAGAACCTTTAAATTTTAAACTTAAATTGCTTTTATTTTAGATCCTCTGGATTAAATGAGGGATGAGGATTATAAAAATGTTTTATATACTGCTTACTTTGTGGTACCTGCAAAGGGATTGGCACCTAATAAGCCTTTAGTAAACACCTTGGGAATGATGGTGGTGTACTCTGGTATCCTTTGATTGAATTGTTTCATTTAAGAGCATTGGTTGTTATTCTTTATCCCTTTTTACATTTTTTAGAGAAATTGTCTCTTAGGGACTTTTCTTCCTACTCATACAAGGTCAGCTGTTCTAAGTCACATTTCAAGCATTCAGGTTAGAACAGGAAGTAGAGGAAGAAACAGTGTTTAGAAGTTGAGACTGGCTGCTCGGAAGCTAGAATTTGTACTACACTATGGAGCATGGACACCAAGTGTGTGAGATTGCCCTCTGATCTGCATTAAGACTTGCCTTAAGGCCGTCTGAGTGGAGGTAGACTGAAGTGGACATGCTGCATCATGTCGGAGAATGCCTTGAAATCCAGGATCAAGGTTGTTTTAAATAACTTAAAGGAGAGACACAGACAGTCCTACCACGAAATGTTCGCTCACTCCACTTCTTATAAACGAACAGGTTGCATTTTCTGACCATGTCATTCACTAGAGCTAGGTGACTTCAAGTTTCCTAAAGCTACTCTTGAAATCAAGAGTTCCATTTATGGGTTTCTTTGTACTGACTAAGCTAGTATTTAGGAACTTGTCTTTCTTGTCATACAATGGAGAGGGGGAGAGAAATACCTCAAATTGAGGCAGTTAAGTAAAAGGAAGATTTTCTGAAGTGAATTTTCAGCCCAGTGAATGAGAGTCTTTCTTTGTTTAATATGGCCCTCTGTTTTCCAAATTGATACACATCTAGTAAGATACTTACTTCTTAACACTTAGAAATCAGCTCATGATAAGAAAAAGTCGAAAGAAAGTACATGTTCAAGAATACATTTGGGGAAAGGGGAAATTTCTTGAGGCTGTATTTAAAATATGGAATAATTGTAGGGTTTGTGTTAAGTGAATTCTGTAAGCATGTAAGTCAAGTTAGTAGTTTTTATAGTAATTAGAAGAATTATGATACTGATAAAGCCAAGGGGTATATTTCAATACCTATACTGTACAAGGGTTACATGTATTGAAAAGTGTTTATTTTTTTAATGCTTTCAAGGTGGTAAGGAGCTTTTTTCCTTTAAGCTGCTAAAAATATATGAGTAATATCAGGACTGTAAGACTTTCTGTTAATGTTCTCAGAAAATAATATCTATGTTAGACAAGTAACATTGAACAGCATCCAGTTACTTAAAAACTAGGTGTAAGAAATCTTGAGATACTATTATTGACATATATTGTTTCAATTTTATATCCTTCAGATATTTGGATTTGAACAACATTGTGAAATTCATCTCCACCTATAATGCCACCAGCGATCGGCGGTCCAGTTGGATACACACCCCCAGATGGAGGCTGGGGGTGGGCAGTGGTGGTTGGAGCTTTCATCTCCATTGGCTTCTCTTATGCATTTCCCAAATCCATCACTGTATTTTTCAAGGAAATTGAAGGCATATTCAATGCCACCACCAGTGAAGTATCTTGGATATCCTCCATCATGTTGGCCGTTATGTATGCTGGAGGTAAGTAGCCACTAAAGCCTGCTCTTTTAACTGCCATTAAGCCCCCCTACCCACCCACTGCCTTTGAAGGGTTTCTGATGCTTAGTGGCCCTGTCAGACCCATTTATTGAGGGGTCTGAATCTCCATGGGAACAGACAGCCTTATCTTTCTCCGGAGGAGCTGCTGGTAGGTGTGAATCGTAACCTGTTAGCAGTCCAACATTTACCCAGTATACCATTTGTCCAACAAAGCCACTAGGGCTTCTTTATTCAGCAGACAAGGCTCTGTAGTAGGTAACGCTTCTTTTTTTTTTTTTTGAAGTGTCTGAACCAGTGAGGTGTTTTAAAATGTGATTTCTGGAAGCTTTGTGTCAGATTCAGAATTACATGTTTCATTCCCTTGGCAGCTCTTCCCAATGGCCACTTTTGCTCTGTTTGTTCCTCTATGATATTCTGAAACAAATAAGAAATTGTGAGGAACCCTTACAATTTGATTCAATTGCAGTATTGAGCAAAAAAAAAATTTACTTTTAATTATGTGCACAATTGTTTTTTCTTCTCAATGCTTTGCTAGTCTCGGAGCTGTTAACATAAATAGAGTTGTTTTCCAAATGATGTTGGATGAATTAAAGTAAATCAGATAACAACCCAAAAACATAGTTAAAAGTTTCCTGGTGTTAGAATACTGGACTACTGAGTAAAATCTCACCTTTGTCACTTGTGATTATAAACGTCCCAATCCCTTTTAGCTACACCCTAAAATATTAAATCTTGTCTCTCTTCCTCTCCCCACCCATCTGGATTTTTTGTGGGTGGGGGACATATTGTGAAGAAAACAGAGAGTAAGCTGTTTACTTCATTTAAAATCTGTTTTACCATGGAACATCAGATCACAATTTAACTTGCTTACCATGATACTTAAAAGATAATAAATAGTCCCTTAGTTAACAAGGATTCAAGAACCAAGGTATTTATTTACTGGAATTGATGGTGTATCTTGTAGCTTATTTAATCACGCTTTCACATCTGTTAAATCTTGGTTCGGGTGGAAATTTCATGCCTCAGAATATTCTCACATGGAGCTCTTTAAGAGAATACCACATTCCAATTATAATAACTTAGCCTTAGGCCACTGAACTTGTGACCGATTCAGCCAGCATCTACCAAGCCCTGTAAGCACTTTCCGCTATAGTTAAGCATGGTGAGTTGTAGAGAACACTGATCCATCAAGAAGCTTATTATATAAGCGCAAGCAACACGAATAAGTGAGTGAAGCCACAACTTAAATAAAGCCCATGATTTAATTGCACAGAAGAAACCGATTAGCTGGTTGCCTTGAAGTGAGAAACAGACCTTTTCCCCACAGGTATATTTTTGTCCACCATTTCTCTGTCAGTTTGTACATCGAACTTGTGCAGATGTCAGAGGACCGGGCAGTGGTTTGATCTGTTGTACATAGATAGAGTCCCCTATGAATCAGGACCAACTTGATGGCACACAACATCTTTTTGTGCTGTTTAAAGTTTTAACATATGCTTGTTTTGTTTGTTAAATACTTTTTTTAACCAGTGGTTCTCAACCTTCTTAATGCTGTGACCCTTTAATACAATTCCTCGTGTTGTGGAAAGCCCCCAACCATAAAATTATTTTCGTTGCTACTTCATCGCTGTAATTTTGCTATTGTTAGGAATCGTTCGACCCCCAAAGGGTTCGGTTCGCAAGCCCCAGGTTGACAACTGCTGTTTTAAACAAACCCTACATGCTAAATTCTAGTGTTTATTTTTAGTAAATTTCAGAAAAATCCTAAGGGGGAGGGACTTTGGAGGTTTCAACTCTAATCTACCAGGATTTCTAATAATTCTGTGACCGTTACGATGAGAAAAATTTGGTATGAATATTACCCAGCGGTACTTGCCCAGCTGCTCTCTGTAGTTCTTTCAGCCGACTACAAATCGGAAGTTGACATGTTGAGATCAGGGACTTTGAGAGCCACTTGAATTTCCTAAGGGATGTCAGTTGTGCTGATTGCACATGACACTCTCCTTTGGTGAAACGGTGCCTTCTTTGTCCTCACCCCTTAGGGAGAAAACTAACACATTTCTCTGAACTTATTATAATAGACCTATAAATTGGACCTATTTCTATTTTTAATGATAGCTAATTGGGGTCATCCTTTCTGAAATAACTTTAAAAGACAAATTGCCTATTTTGGGCCTTGTGGCTGGTTTTTTTACCAGCTGGGTTATTTTGTTTTGATTGCCTTCCCAGTGGTTAGTCCTTTAAGAATTATCACCACTTTTAGAGCTCTATTTCTTTACTTGTGTGCTTGAGCCATATCCTGAAAACTATAATATGTTTTGGGTTGTAATTGATTTAGTTTTGCTTTTTCTTGATTAAAAAAAAAAATTCAGGTCAGAAATAGATGCTAATGCTTGCTAGACTCTAAGTATCCTCTCCTGTGGGGTCACCTGAGGGAAAAAGCCCTTAGATAGTACAAATGGTTAATGTGCTTGACTGAGAACCCAAAGATGGGAAATTTGAGTCCACTTGAAGGTGTAGAAGAAAGGTCTGGCAATCCACTTTCCAAAAATCAGCCATAGAAAATCCAATTAAACTAGACAATGTAAAACACCACATCAATCGGACAAAGGAAAAGAGCCATGACAATCACTGCAGAAAAGGCATTTGATAAAAGCCATCACTCTTTCTTGATAAACTCTACAAGATAGGAATAAATTGAAAGTCCTTCCACATGATTAAGGCCATTTATGAAAAGCCGGCAGCCCAACATTATACTCAGTGAAGAAAGCCCTGAAAGTAGAGTCCTGGCTGGACACACATGGGTGGCCATGAGGCAAAGTCAACGCAGCAGCGATGGTTTGGTTGTTCTTCTGACCAGGAGGAGGGGAACCTAGCTACTTACTCACGGTTAGTTAGAATTTGCATTATTGTTTTTTTACACAGTTGTGCAAGTTTGCATTTTTTCATTTGCACAATGTTGTAATTGTAATACCCTTGGCTTACTGTTTCAAATACAGCTAACTTTACAGCAGCCTATGGTATGGCAGTATTTTGATCTTTGTAATTCTTATTGTACCAGACCTGCACATTACTAATTTATATGGCTCTATTTTATGACTTTCTACATTCATCTTACATAAGCTGTAAATTCAGATTTTCACATCAGCTGAGACATAATCTCAGGCAGTGAATTAGGAGGTGGCAGGACAGCTGCTTTTGCACATTCTTGGTTAAGGCTCAGTACCTCCTGGTAGCCAGTTCTGGACCTCGCCCTTGGTGAGGCTTGGCCCTCTGAGAGACTAGGATAACCAAAAGCTTTCATTCCTTTACATGCTTATTGCATATTTATATAGACACATTTAGCATGTACGCATGGGCTTCAGGAAGTTTGCTGGTTGGGGGGGGATGGAATGCAAAGATAATGGAATTCCACAAGCTTTTTGAATGGTGTGTGTGTGTGTGTGTGTGTGTGTGTGTGTGTGTGTGTGTGTCCATACCCATAAAGTGGAGACTGAAATATTTGAAAAGTACAAATAAATGAAAATGAATTAATCTCCATTTTAAATCAGTAAATATTTTTAGTTTACTTAAGAATTACAGTTTTTGCTTAAGTAGAGAGCAAATGTTTTGAGAATGATGAGGGCAATGAATGTACAAATGTGCTTTATGCAATTGATGCGTGTATGGATTGTGATAAGAGTCGTATGAGCCCCTAATAAAATGATTTTTAAAAAAAAGAAAGTATGGACTTGGGAGAAGAGGGAAAAAGAATTATAGCTTTTAAAATACTGTTTACTTTGAATCAGACTATGTTATAATTAGGACATAGTCCAAATTTGGAATAAGCAAGTTACGTATTTATATGTAGAAAATTGATTCTTGAAATACATAAAGAATTTTTCTAGTCCTTCTATTAGCTTTTTATTTGGCTCTTTTCCCACTTTCAAGAAAATCCAAATGTTTTTTGTATGTGTATATTCCTATTGCTGAGGAAATTTAACCGGTTTTGTTTTGTTTTTTTAATAATACCCCATTTCCTACCCGAAGTTATTTTGAGGAGCTGCTGACATATCTTCTCCCGAAAGTTTTTTCTTCATTTTTTTCATTGTATGAATACCACCAAATACAGTATCATAGGCATAGGCATACATTATAGACATAGGACCAGTTAACTCTGAACGGCATTCGTTCAGTTCCATACCAGAGACATTTCAGTTGTCACTGCTATGGAGTCCGTTCTCAGCAATCCTATCGGACAGAGTGGAACTGCTTCTGTGGGTTTCTACTCCTTTACTGGAGGAGAAAGCCTCATCTTTCTCCCAAGGACTGGCTGCTGACTTTGAATTGCTGCCCTGTGGCGAGGAGCCTAACATATAACCACTGTGCCACCAGAGCCCTCTAGATGCACATAATTTGGATAAGTTTGCTTTGTTTTTATAATGAAAGAGATTGCTTAATTTAATTGTAAAACTAAGTTTGGAATGAATACTTATCCAGTTTTTTTCATTTTGTCTTTTCAATCTGTTACAAACCTTGTTTATAATAATATGTAAGTACGAATATAAACCCAGAACCCTATTCAGTTGTGTTCATATATCATATCCTCTCTGTTGTCTATTTTTTCTTCCCCTCTCTGTTGTCTTTATTCCAGAAGTCTTCCCAGAAATTAAAGCAGAGCAAGCTCACTAATTACTTGTTGGTCACATCCTGATAGAATAAGCCTATGAACGTCCTTTACCACATGCTGTGAGCCTGTTGTATTTTGTGAGAGAAAGACTCTAGATGGACTCAAGGCTTTTGTCCAGGGAAACCTGTGAGAGCCACCACTTAACAGGACTGCCTTGTTCACCCGGTTCTCACAAGTTTTCTGCTGCTGACAGGGTGACAATCTTAACAATTTTGCATCACACTCTTAATAGAGTGTTAGAAACCTTCAGACAGGTTTCTACTTTTCAGGCTAGATATTGTGTATAATTCCATCAGTGTATCTAGCTCGATGTAGAAGCTCCACAACGATGTTTGATTGCACATACGCCTGTGACTGAAATAATTACAGAAAGCTATGTACCCTCCCCTTGCCCTCGGCTGTGTCCTTTCATTTTGGAGGATCTGTGGTTTATTGTCATTAAATGTTTTGTGTAGATAGGAGGGGTAGGTGCCTTTCCTACATCCTACTACGCTTTTCGTTCTCCCCTAGGCCCCATCAGCAGTGTTCTGGTGAACAGATACGGCAGTCGGCCCGTCATGATGGCTGGTGGCTGCTTGGCAGGCAGTGGCTTGATTGCAGCTTCTTTCTGCAACACCGTGCAGGAACTCTACTTGTGTATTGGAGTCATTGGAGGTGAGTTGCTATTGGCTCATTTTCCAGCATTAATTTACTGCTGTTACTTGGTATTTACTTATGTGCATTCAGATATTTTTAGTGAATTTACTTTCATATAAAAGTTACTGTCATCGTACTGAAAAACTGTAGATAGAACAGAGCAATAGGAAAGTAACACTTTAAATAAATTGATGGACTGTACCTGGCAACTGGTCGCACGGGCAGTCATTAGTTATAACTTCGTCCTCCAAGAGGAAGTAGACGTCTATTGGAGGGGAAGACAGCCTTAAACAGAGCAGGAATCACATCTGTTGGAAGGCCTAGATCAGTACCTGAGAGGTAGAGGAGACTTGATAGCTTTTTTAATGCAGCCAAATGCTATAACGAACCACTGACCTGTATAATGAATAAGGGTTACTCATAACCTTACAATCTATAAATAATTATATTAATGTCTTCATGTATATACATCCTTTTTTCTATGTATAAACATATGACCTTTTTTTAGAACAAAAGGGTCAAATTACATGTTTTGCAACTATTTCTTTCACCTAATATGAAGGAAGTCAAACAGTATTGTTGCAGTCATAGAAACCTTTGTAAAATAAAAAATCTCAAAAGGTGAAATTACTGTTCACTATCTGGGTGTATATACTTGTGTGGGAGGTGTTTCTAGTTCTCTAGCCCTTCCCCTGAGGACGACATATTCATTCTTTGATTTGCATCTTATCAAAATGGTAGTTTGGTCATGCTCGAGGGACTCAAGTTGTCTTCATTCTCAATGTTCTTTGAGTTTGGGGAACAAAAAGAAGTCTAAAGGGGCCGAAGACAGCCATCTAGCAGGGAAGCAACAAGGCCCACATTGAAGAAGCACATCAGGTGTTGACAGGAACAGGCCTCAGAAGCTCAGAAATGAATAACTTCATCGAGGTGATGGTGAGGGGTAGGGATCAAGATGGAGACCCAGAGCCCATCCGTGGATAATTGGACGTTCCCACACAGAGGGGCAGCACAGAGGAGAAAATGCATCTAGTTTAGCACGAAACACAGCACTCCTCTATTTCTTTAATCCTTCCTCCCCCCGCTATTATGATCTCAGTCCTACCTCACAAATCCCACTAGGCGAGGGTACATACTGTGGCACAGACGAGAGTTTTCAATATATGAAACAAGGACAAACCCCCTCAGAATTTAAGTAATGGGAGTAACAGTTCCAGGAGAGTAGGGGGACAAAGGGAGGGGAAACAGATAGCAATGACAGCAGAATAACATCCCCCTTGAAGGGGACAAATACCAGGATAGTTGGTGAAGGGATAGAATGGGCGGTGTAAGATAAGTATAAATAATAAAAAAAATACATAATATATCAAGGGTCCACAGGGGTGCCAGGGGGTGGGGAACAGGGTGGGGGGGGAGAGGAGCTGATATCAAAGGGCTCAAGAAGAAAGATAATGTTTAGAAATTGTTGACGCTAACAATTGTACATGTCCACTTGATATAATGGATGTATGGAAATAAGTGTGTTAAGTGACTTTTTAAAAAAGAAATAATAATAAAGGGGCCGAAGAATTTGCAGGCACGCACTGCCATGATAGAAAACCGTAACACAGCCTTACTGACCTTTTTTGTCAATGATGCCGGTTTCAATTTTCCTAAAACGTCTTCCTAGTGAACTCCTATATCATCCTGTGTTCTTCAGGAAGACCTCTCAAGGGAAAGGGGAAGAAAAGCCACTATAACCTTTTGTGAGAAGAAAGATGAAGCTTTCTGCTCTTGCAGAAGAGTGACAGTCTCAGAAACAACCCCCTCCCACCCACCCCCAGCAGTTTGACCCGTTCTGTAGGGTTGCTATGAGTCAGCATCCACTCGACTGCAGTGAGTTTGTTGTTTCTGTTTATCACCTTGAGCACTGACCCACCCACCCACCCCTTGAATTGAACCGGCTCAGCTGATCCCCCTCAGGAGTCACGGTTTTTATTGGACTTTGCTCACCGGATTATATTGATAAATCCAAAATTCATCCCCAGTTACTGTTTGTTCCATGAAATCTGTCTTGCTAGCTGCAATCTTGCTGAACAAACGAATGGAAAGGTCAACCTTCTGTGTTAACTGTTGTTTGTGCAACACTATTTTAAGTATCCTTTTATAAGGCACCCTAAGGGGAGACTAAGACAAGTGTTCTTTCTGAGAGAATTTATCTGCAGCTATTGTCTGATGACAAGGGCATTCTTAAACACGTCTTATTCAGAATGAACCCATAGGACAACTCCCTTCACTGGGAAGAAGAGTAGGATATGATTTTGAAGAGGCTTTGAAAAAATTCATGGAAAAGTGGGATCAGAAGATAATGGAATTTTCCCACAAACTTTGTAGTACTCTTACATATCTATATATTATTCCATGGGATGTATGTATACACCATAATTTTATTTAATCTCTAATTGTTAGATATTTAGGTTGTTGAGTTTGTTTCTAACTTTTTAAATTAATAAATAGTTATTGGTTGATAGCCCGTTGTGAACATGGGTATTAGGATATGTTTGCAAAGGGGGAACTGTTAATGTGTGTTGAACCTTTTTCTACTTTTTCTCCCTAATTAAATGTAGTAGTTTTTAGGATTTCAAGGCCCTCAGACTTGGATATTAATCGTAATAAGTTGTTCTCCACTCAAAGATTATGAATATATTTGCCCACTTCTTCTTTTAACTTGCTTTTCATTTGATATTTAAATTTTGAATGGGTGAGAAAATGTTATAAAAACAGAAGAAATATAAATTTATTTGTTCCTACTTTTATTGACCTGCTCATCTAGTATACTATATGTAATATATATATGCCAGGCACCGCTGTAGGTGCTGTGGGACTAGAGCAACTAATTCAGGCAACAACTCCCTTCCATGTAAATAAATGAATAAATAAGAAAATATCCAGTAGTGATAGATAGTATACCATACCCTAGAATGAATGCGTGATACATTGGTAGTCATCAAAAGTAAAGAGATGGCTTTAAATAGAAAAATAAATGACATGTGAAAAGTTAGTGCATAAATTCCCAAATTTATTTTATCTACTGCACTTTTTTCAATTAAAAAAAATTGTTCAGCTCCCCCTGGCAATTAAAAACCTTTGTACAATTGTGCAATTAAAAACACAGTCCAGGATAATGTGAAAGCAAATGCTTTTGCAGCCCCTTGGGAGGGCATATCGTCCATGTTGGAAAGCACTGGTTTAGGGAACATAGGCCCTAGGTCAATAGCATGCTTATTAATTTTTATTACACGTGAGGAAGGTGTGGCAGGACATCAGGGAGGGCGGTAATCCCAGATAAAACTTGAGGATAGAAGCCATGAATCGGTTAGCAGGTCAGAAACCAGGAACTTGCTCTGATTTGTCAGTTTGAGTCTCGGAGTGGCTGCATGTTCAACACAGGGCAAGACAGCGGAGGGCAAGGAGAGATGATTGCCAGGGACAGCGTCTATAAAGTTACTGGAGTGTGTACTTTTCCGAACACTACTTAGTGATTAATCTCTTCTTTCTCCACTCAGTTTAAAGTGTTACTTTGTCTTACATTCATTGTTTGTGTCTATTTGGAATCTGTTTCTGGACTTGCCACTTTCATTGATCAGTGTTGACCTTTTCCTGAAACAGGGTCACACTGATGATAGCCTTCATAAATTTGTTAAAGTATCTGTTAGGGCTGACTCCACTCCTCCCCCTGAACCATCAAAACATGTTCCTGGGGATGTCCATGCCTCCTGTCGTCAACCCAATTATGTTCTTCCCTGTCATTAACTGCACTTCTTCCTTCCCTAACCACCAGAGCTCGTTCATAGTTCACAGGCTAAAGGACACTGTCCTCCCAACTACCAGATAGGCTCAGGAATGGCTTCAGCGCTCAGTTCTAAGTCCTGGGGTTCCAGGACACCTCCATTTCTAAGCTACCGACTACAACATCCTCAGAGAAGCTGAGAAGCTCCGCAGCCCCTGTGATGATTTAGACTAAGTAATTTGCTAGGATGTTTCATAGAACTGAGGAAAGCACTATATATTTTTTTAACATAGGTGATTGTTTTTATTCCTTTTTTAAAAATCATTTTATTGGGAGCTCATATAGCTCATTTCGCAATCCATCTATCCATTATGTCAAGCACATTTGTACATTTGTTGCCATCATCATTTTCGAAACATTTTCTTTCTACTTGAGCCCTCATTTTCCCCCCACCCTCCCTCCCTCGAGAACCCTTGATAATTCTTTTTTTTTTTTTTCATGTCTTACACCAACTGCTGTATCCCTTCACCCACTTTTCTGTTGTCTGTCCCCCTGGGAGGGGGCTATATGTTGATCATTGTGACTGGTTCCCCCGCTTTCACCCCACCTTCCCATTACCCTCCTGGTATCGCTACTCTCATGATTGGTCCTGAGGGGTTTATAGGTCCTGGGTTCCCTGTGTTTCCAGCTCTTATCTGTATCAGTGTACTCCTCTGGTCTGGCCAGGTGTGTAAGGTTGAATTGGGATCATGGTAAGGGTGGTGGTGGGAAGCATTAAAGAACGAGAGGAAAGTTGTATGTTTCATTGGTGCTATACTGCACCCTGACTGGCTCGTCTCTTCCTTGTGACCCTTCTGTAAGGGGATGTTCAATTATCTACAGTGAGGCTTTGGGTCTCCACTCCACACTCCTCCTCTTTCACATTGATAGGATTTTTTGTTCTGGGTGTTTGATGCCTGATACCTAATCCCATCAACACCTCATTATCACACAGGCTGGTGTGCTTCTCCATGTGGATTTTGTTGCTTTTTAGCTAGATGGCCGCTTACTTATCTTCAAGCCTTTTAGACCCCAGACGCTGTATCTTTTGATAGCTGGGCACCATCAGCTTTCTTCACCACCTTTGCCTAAATACCCATTTTTGTCTTCAGTGATCGTGTCGGGAAGGTGAGCATCACAGAATGCCCGGTTATCAGAACAAAGCGTTCTTGCGTTGAGGGAGTACCTGAGTAGGGGGCCCAATGTCCATCTGCTACCTTAATACTTAATATTATAAATATATGTGCATAGATCTATTTCCCTATCATTATATATACATGTATTTACATATGTACATGCTTGTATTTATACTTCTATAAATGTCCTTTGCCTCCTAGTTCTTACCTCTGTTTCCTTTTACTGAAAGCACTATACTTAAAATTAGTTTTATTTTGTTATTTTTTGCTACCATTGAGAGGATACAAAACCAGGACCACCATAAAGAAGATAAACATAAGGGTGAAGGTTGGGAGGGTCCCCAACATAGACCTTCCATGTCCTTAGGGTTCCATCAGTGTCTGTCACTAGCCAAGAAGCTCAGCATGCTTCAGTGTCCCCAGAGCTTTTGTTGGGATTTTACTATGTAGGCCTATCTGATGGAGCCATTGCTCATGTAATCTCCAGTTCCTACTCTACCCCCACACCCCTGAATTCAGACTGATAAAATGTGGTGGATCTTTCTGCATGGCCAGCACCCAACCCAACATCATTGACTTCATTCACATAGCCTGTCAGGTATGGTCCAAAGCAAAGACATTCCAGTTACTAGAAAATTCCAAAGGTTTTGAGGTTGTCTCCAGCAGTAGTTTCTAGGGTCAAGTAATGCTTTACCCCACAATATTAATTTGTTCTCTAAATATATTTTAGATTATTTTTCTACCTCATGTCTCAAAATGCACTCCACTAATGCTTATATTGGATTCACATTAAGTTAGTACAGTCATTTGGAAGTATTGACAGCTTAACAAGGTTGTAGTTCATTATATATTTTTTAAAAAAATCAATGTATATTTTTATTTTAATTCTCAGGGCCCTCAGGAAAGTGTCATAATTTTAGGCATATAAATTGCATTTTTCTGTTGTAAACCTGTTTTGTCTCTAATTATAGCTGTGTGCTCAGTGATCTTCTGCTGGTTATAATAGTTCTTCTGATGACTTTACTAGGTTTGGCAGATAACTCACCGTTAAGTAGTATAAACAGTAATAACCGATAACTAATATTTACTGGGTGCTTCCCATATCTCAGCACCCGGGCACTGCCGTCAAGGGCTTTACATGGATTATGCCTTTCGCCCCACATGGCTACGCTGTGTGCCTGTTGTACATACATAGTAAGCAATGGCCCCAGGAAATCAACATATCTGAGGTGGCAAAGCACAGTCAGGGAACCCCTCCAGTGTGGTCATGGGGCTGACACTTCAAATTGCTGTATTTTGTCTCCTTTTCCTTTATTTATTTCATATTTTAGTTTCTTTCTCTAAGTAATTCCAAATAAATTTCTGCTGTTTATAACCTTATATGATTTTTTTTCCTTTCCCCTTGCCCCCAGGCCTTGGACTTGCCTTCAACTTAAATCCAGCTCTGACCATGATTGGCAAGTATTTCTACAAGAAGCGACCACTGGCCAATGGACTGGCCATGGCAGGCAGCCCTGTGTTCCTCTCTACTCTGGCCCCTATCAACCAGGCTTTCTTTGGTATCTTTGGCTGGAGAGGAAGCTTCCTAATCCTTGGGGGCTTCCTACTAAACTGCTGTGTCGCCGGATCCCTGATGCGACCAATAGGGCCCACGCCGACCAACGATAGGAAAGATCGGTATAAAGTATCCCTTCAGGAAGCTGGAAAATCTGATGAAAAGAAAAGTACAAGTGATGCACACACAGATCTGATAGGCGGAAACCCCAAAGAGGAAAAACAGTCATTCTTCCAAACCTTTAACCAATTCCTGGACCTGTCCCTTTTCACCCACAGGGGCTTTCTGCTGTACCTCTCCGGGAATATGTTTATGTTTTTTGGACTGTTTGCACCTTTGGTCTTTCTTAGTAATTATGGCAAGAGTAAGCATTTCTCTAGTGAGAAGTCTGCCTTCCTTCTCTCCATCCTGGCCTTCGTTGACATGGTGGCCAGACCTTCCATGGGACTGTTAGCCAACACAAAGTGGATAAGACCTCGTGTGCAGTATTTCTTTGCCGCGTCCATTGTTTTAAACGGAGTGTGCCACTTGCTAGCACCTCTAGCCAACAACTACGTAGCTTTCTGTGTCTATGCAGGCGTCTTTGGATTTGCATTTGGTTGGCTTAGCTCAGTCTTGTTTGAAACACTGATGGACCTCATTGGACCGCAGAGATTCTCCAGTGCTGTGGGACTGGTGACCATTGTGGAATGCTGCCCTGTCCTCCTGGGACCACCACTCTTAGGTACAGTATGTCCCCTGCCTCTATAGTTCTCTGCTCGTGTAACAAGTGTACAAGATCGGAAAGGTGCCAGAAAGCAGACAGTAGTAAATTATTTGATGACTGGGAACAAGTCTCTCTCCTGTCCTGTACCCTCGGTGCTGGCACAATGTTTGGCACAGCTTACCTACATAAATGCTTAGCGAACTGGACTAAATTAAACCCTCAGGTGAATGAAGAATGAAATATTACAAAAATGGGCCTTCATTAATAATATTTTCTCTAAAATTAATATGAATGTAAAGTAGTGTGCCTATAAAGCACTGGCAGTGGTGATTTCATTTTAATGGTGGGTTAATCCCAGTAGAATAGTTAAAATGATGACAATAGCTACTATGTAGAATTCCTGTTGTTGTTGTTGTTGTTCTTAGGGGCCCTTCAGTTGATTGGCAGCTCATAGCAGCTCATGTGACAGCCCCATAGGATTTTCTTGGCTGGTAGCACAATGGTTAAAGTGCTCCACTTCGAATGGCAAACTTGGTAGTTCAAACCCACCAGTAGCTCAATCAGAGGAAAACACCTGGTGGTCTGCTTCCTTAGAGATTACAACTTTGGAAACCCTGTAGGGCAGCCCCCTGTCTGACAGTCAGAGTACATTTGAAGGCACACTGCGACCACCTCGGTGGGGAGGACATTGCTAGGTCTTTGCCCTGGTACAAGCCAGGCGAACGGGTTCAAACCACTAACCTTTTGTTTAGTAATCAAGTTCTTACTGACAATACTTTTCAGGGCTTGTCTAGGCTCCTTAAGATTGTCCTAGCTATTTATAAGTCCTATCATCTCACAAGTTTTATCAGTTTTCTAAAGGCTAAGTGATTTTGTCCTAGCTCACACAGTTAGGAATGAGTAAAAAAAATTGGGACAGTTCCCTTAGGCTACTAAGTACTTCAAATTTTAAGTTAATAGCTTCCTAGGCCACACATAGTGGAGGCAGGGCAGGGAAGAATCAGGTCCTCCTTGGGCACATGACTTGTTTTTTGGGAATTCGGTAAGCACAAAAGAAAAGACCCATTACTGCCTTTTGATATTGCCTTCTGGCCTTCAGTGAGTTGCCGAAGCCTATCAGTTTTTGCCTCCTACATCTCTCTTAACATGTCAACTTTACTCTGTTACAACTGCTGCCCTCGTCCTGAGCTCCCATCGAGCTCCCATTGCTCGTGCAGGCTCCTCCGGTGACCTCCTAACTAGGATAAAAGATCAAACTCCCTAATGTGGCCCCACCTGCTTCTCTAGTTATATTTCTTTTTTTTTTTTAATCATTTTATTGGGGCTCATACAACTCTTATCACAATCCATACATGCATCATTTGTCTAAAGCACACTTACACATTTGTTGCCCTTATCCCCTCCAGTTTTATTTCAAATCTCAGCTTGGCTAATACTTTGCGGGAAGCCTTCCTGATCCCACTTACTGGTCCCCTCCCCCCATTTGTGGTTTTTAGACCCCTACGTGTGGTGCTGATCACAGCTGTATGATTGGTTCCACTGAACTGTGGCTGTGATCTCCTTTATAGCATAGCACTGACTAGCATAGGGTCGATCTGTCGCCACAGTGTCGATTCCAACTCGTAGAGACCCTGTAATCTTTCTCCCACCACCAGTGCTCCTTAGAATTTGCTGAGGGCTAAGTAAATGTTACTGAGTGAAAATAAAGTTCTGAATTAGAAAACACTGGAGTCATTTTGAGCCAGTTACGTGCTGTATAGATATAAAACTGAACTCGTAGCTGTTGAACAACCGAGTCATAGCAGCCCTGTAGGACAGGTGGACGCTGTTCCCGCAGGTTTCCAAGGCTGTGAATCTTTACTGGGAGCAGATGGCTTTATCTTTCAGCCAACGAGTGGCTATTGGGCTCTGATAGTTGCCCAATGCCTAACCTTCAGTGCCACCAGGCTAGGGTTTTACTAATACATTTGCTAATGTAGTAGTAAATGCTGAAACATTTTGTTGTAACAAAGATTTCGCCCCCACCCCCCAAAAAACTAGAAACACCTGGTTAGATAGATTTCTTCACTATAGGACATGGCAGTGGGTTTGATATGCAAATGTGCATTGTGGGTCTTCCAAGTGAAAAGAGTACAGTGTGCTCTTTGGAAACGTTAGAGGTATGCTGCAGCCAGCAACTCGGCCCGGGCTCCTAAGTCAAGCTTTCCAAGGTCTGAAGCCTTTACCAGCGTTGTGACTTTCTGCAAGTTACTTACCATTTCTTGCTTCAGTTTTTACCTCTGTGCATGGGGGATTATCTGCAGATAAGGCACGTGGAACAGTGGGAAGGTGTTGGTGTTGGATACTTTTTAGTAAAGGACAAGCTTCACAGGAACACGCTTTAGGGGCTTTTCCCTAGGAACAAAAATAACTTTGAAAAAACAACAATAAAAATGACTGACTTTGAAAATTTCAAAACTTTTTTTTCCTCCATTGTGTAAAGAGAGTTGATTCTAAGTGATCTCTAAGTCTTCCCCAATTCAAATTGGCCAAGATTTAATTATTTTCGAGTTTCTGAAAATAAATTATAAGGCTCAAAATCAGTGCAGCCTTATAAACAAAGGATCAGATCATATTTTGCGATCCCTTTCATTTGTTAGTCGGCTCCTTAAAGATAAATTGACATCTGAGTGGTTCCTCACACTTTTATTTGGGAAAGGGTATATACTTGTTCACTTTACCCATGTTCACGTTCATGTCCTTACTTTTGGGATCTTTTTAGGTCGCCTCAATGACGTGTATGGAGACTACAAGTACACATACTGGGCCTGTGGCATAGTCCTGATTTTTGCGGGTGTCTATCTCTTCATTGGCATGGGCATCAATTATCGACTTCTGGCAAGAAAACAGAAAGCAGCGCAGAAGCAGGAGGAGAAGAAAGAGGAGGAGGAGGCCAATGCAGGTGTTCCTGAGAAGCCAAAAGACGTACCTGAGGACACATTAGAATCTCCAGAGCAGAAAGACGCAGAAGGAAGCCCCAAAGAGGAGGAGAGTCCAGTCTGAGCCCGTGAGACCTCAGGGTAAACGGAGCAGCTCATGGCCCAAGAGATCTGAAAATATACTGGCCTGTATCCTACCAGTGGTGCTCAATGCAGACAGCAGACATTTGTGTGGAAATCATCCCATGTGTTGTTCATTGGTGGAATTTTATTTCACTCCTTAGTAGCCTGAGTTTAAAATGCCATGTCCTTGGGGGAGGGAGTGGTTAGCAAAGAATAAGGGAAGGAAGTGTAGTTAGTTCTTGTTTACTTTGTTTTGTGTGGTCTTTTGTTTTTCAGCTTTTTAACAGCATCATGAAGATTATAATATGTGCCTTATGTTTTAGTCTTTATTTAGAACTCTTTAGGGAGCCTTAACTTTTTAAGCCATTCTGCTAAATTTATCTATTTTAAGTGTCACGCTTAAAGGAAAAGTAACTAACTTGTGTGAGGCAAATCTGAAATTATTATTTTTTTTTGTTGCAAATCTGAAATTTTAAATGCATCCAGCCTCATGAGTAATTTGTAACATATCATCAGACATTGTCGTTGGATGATTCATGGGTAGAAATTCTGGTTGAAAGTTGAGGATTTCATAAAATGATGACTAAAATATTTCCCGAGCATCAATAGTAGCCTGGCACCTGTGCCTGCTGAGTATGAGTTTGGGGGACTTAAGGCATAAAGCATTGGCAGTCTCTCGCTGCTCTCGCCCCTCGCCCTGGTGAGGAACACTTAACTAGTACCTGTGCTCAGGATGCTTATTAGAAGCAGAGTGCGTAGGGCTTGCTTTCATGCAGTTACTCTTACAAAGACACATTCTGAGTGGTTATATAAAGCATTGCCCCTTTTGAAATCACTTGGTATTATTTTTCTCACCGTAAAAGTTAGAATTAAAATCCACAAAACTATGTATTGATGTCTCCCTAGTAAATGCAACACATCTAATTAATCGTAGACAGATTTTTCAAACAGCTGAATTCCGCTTAGGCTTTTCTAAAACCTCAGTTATAAACTGTGAGACTATTGAAACTTTTTTCTTTCCTGGAATTTTCTTCCCTTTGATTCATCGTGGTTCCATTATAGCTGCTTCTTGTTTAAAGCTGTATGATAGAGAGAGAGAGAGAGAGAGAGAGAGAGTGTGTGTGTGTGTGTGTGTGTGTGTGTGTGTTTTCATTCCCCAATGTTTTAAAATTAAATGGGCCAGAAAACTTTGGCCTCAGGCAAGCCAATAAGAGTAAGATTGAAGTTGCCGAATGTGCTTAGTGAGTGACTCTTTTTTTCCTGAGAAGGCCTTAAAGAAAATTGATCTGTTTGGATGTATTGGATGCATTCTCTCCACACAAGCGTGGAGATATCACGAGCCTGTTCTCTGAGGGGAAAGGCCGAGAAACAGGCTCCATGGGACAGGTGGGAGGGCGGACCAGAAGACAAACTGTAAATATGTTTTTAACCTAACCTCTCTTCAATTGAGGCAGGAAGACAGTGATCAACAGTCAATGAGTGATAACCCACAAATTTAAATTATCGTTGTCATTAACAGTAAAACTAAAGATACAAAACCTGTGTAAGAGGCTGAGTTTTCCAAATAAACATCTTTTTTTTTTTTAATGGTTCTTCCCCCAAATGTTTTCTTCAGGAAAATAAAGCTTTATCTTCGTTTTCATGATCAGTTTTCAATTTGGTCCCTGCTAATAGTAAATTAAATCAGCTAGTTATGTACTTTGGGATTTGTGCAAGTGGTTGGTTTTTTTTGGTCTTTTCCCCACCCTTTGTGCATCTGTAAAGCCAGCTCTGGAGCTGAGAGCCCCCGGAGCAGGTAGCCTTGAGGACACTTAGTGGCAGCTGGAGGAGGCATGGTAGGGAGACGCTGCCGGGAGAGTTGGCAGGCTTGGCTTCAGTTTGGGCTCAGCCACTTTCCATATACCCAAGTAAGCTTTATGTGCCTCTCTCCTGGTCTATAAAACTGAGAGTGCCACCAGGAAAGGGAATTTTTTAATTAAACAAATTCAAGGGAAGTACAATGCAGGGATAAAGGATTATTTTCCTGTCGCAGTTGTTGATATTACATCCACACATAGGCTCTGTTCCATTGTGTGTTCCATAGTTCAATCCTGTTGTTAAGACGGGGTGTGGGGGGGGTGTTTGCGCGGCGCAGAGGAGGGGGGGTGATCCACAGTTTTATTACCACTCATAAGGAAAGGTCCTGAAGCTAATAAGTGGCTCAAAGCGGTTCTCAACCTGTGGGGGTTCACAAGCCCTTTGGGGGGTAAATCAGGGTTTACCTGATTCATAACAGTAGCAAAATTACAGTTATGAAGTAGCAACGAAAATAATTTTATGGTTGGGTGTCACCACCACATGAGGAACCATGAAAGAGTCGCGGCATTAGGAAAGTTGAGAACCACTGCCTTAGATCCTAAGCCTAGTCTAACCCTGACTCTTCACCAGTGAAAATACACACTTAAGAGATTTATTTAGTCACTCTTGGTAATAGTCAACCTAGACCCCTGTGAAGACAAGCTCTTCCATCTCTTATCCTTTCTCTGTTGCAAGTCAATGCTGAAGTGGCTAGGTTTTCCCATCTAGTATACTTCCCCGTAGGCCATTTGAAGACAGGATTTTATTTCCGTTCCCAAAGTTTCAGAGACTGTTTTGAGGGGGGGGAAATGCATGTTCAGAGTACCTGCCTGTCTTGACCATTGCTCTGTTCCCCAGCCTCGGTCAGAACAAGAACTGTGAGAAGTAACAGTTCCTAGGGGCTGAACCCATGCACACCTGGGACTGTTGAAGAAGACACTCTTGACAGATTACTGTCCATGCTGGAAAGTCATTTAAGGAATCGAGTTAGTAGTTGCTGTTGAATTGACTCCAATTCATGGAAATTCCATGTCCAAAGGTACATCAAGAAGTATTGTTTAAAGATTCTGGAAATGGTTTTGAACAAAAATCAAAATGGAAAGCTTTCCGATATCCTCCAGCTAGGTGTCTACACTTCTGAAGGTGGTGTTGGCATGCTTAGATTCAGACCACATTGAACTGCCGTTTTGACATCCTCTAGAGCTCAAATCATGCTCTCTTAAATGCTCTGTACGTTCGGGAAACAAAAAGGCAGCTGAACGGGCAAAGTGGATGGAGTATGATTTTTTTCCAGCCCAATTCTAGGACGGTGTTTGCTCCCCTCTAAGAATGAACAGGTGTGTTGTTTTCT